ACATTAAATTGGACAAAATTTTAAAATGAGATAAATTCAATATTTTAAGGCTAAAAATAGTGGAAACATCCATTTTAAAAGCTTAAAAACCGAAAGTGGCCATTTAGACCTTTCTAAATTATTTCCATAGTTTCCTAAAACTTCAAAAAAAAGAAAAGAAAACTAGCACCTAAGTTATGTTCTTTTTTAATGGGATTATACTATTTTTTAATAAAATTAAAATTTGTGTAATTTTGTCCAAAAATATGTCATTTGGGCCTTTGTATATCATTTTTAAGGATTTCTGAGATTTTAATAATTTTTTTAAAATGTGATATCTGAGTTATATTTATTTTAAGTGAGATTACACCATTTTTTTAATAGGACTAAAAAATAATGTGACCTTGTTCATTTTAAAACAACATAAGATAGGTCTCCATAGATTTTTCTCTCAACTTCGAAAAATCTTCTCTAACAATATTTATATATTTATTTTTGTTCAAAGTGGTTATAAATTCATGTTGAATTAGCCAAAATTAAATAAATACACAAATTAAACCTTTTAAGGATCGAAATCAGTGAACGTTTGGTCATGGTTCATAATTGGTTTGATATTGAACTACTTTGTCTTCCGAAGGTTCAAAGAATAGTGGGCACATTATAATTACGTGTTATCAATTGGACTGGATTCCGGAGCATCTATTTTGAGCACTTTTGTTATTCTTTTTCTTCAATCTAGCGTATATATGGACCAGATTAGTGGGGTTTGGAGATGGACAACCATTGCACCTTGGCTCATTGTCCAACGGCACCATGAGTTGTTGTAGAAGGCTATCCTGTATTCAATTGAGATGATCACTAAATTTGATCACCGAGTATATGACTACCATTAATTTGTCGAAAGGATATTATTATTTATGGTTCAGTTGTTAAAACAACATAATTTGTTTTGTTTTAGTTGTTTAAACATATACTTTTGCTTGTTCAATCTCATTTTTGGGTATGGAGTAAAAAATAAAAGGAGCTCGAACAAATGAGGTGAGGTCTAAAGTTAACGTGGCACTCAAAATTTTCATATAAAAGGTTTATGAGAAAGTAATTATTTTGCTAAAATGCTAAAGAAATTTTAGAAATTATTGTATTTTGTTCCTCTAATCCTGTCTTTTTTTTTTTTTTTTATCCTAACCTATGAAATCTCAACAAAAAAACACCTTCATCTGTGTCGTCAAGTCCCGAAAACGACATTCATATTGTTCAACCGAGAATATCATCATCATTTATTAAACTAATATAATAATATCAAAATAAAAGAGTTAGATGAAAGTTATTCATACAAGAAGTTATTTATTTAAAATTATAACTAAACCCACGTAACGTATTTATTTATCATTATAAGTAAGCCCACAGACTATGTGCTTATTAATCTTGAATTATTATTTTTTTAAACGTTAAATTATCATTGAGATTAACAATACAAATCTAAAAGACTATAAATGACTAATCACATCGAGTTTAACGATACAACGTTTCACCCATATAAATGAGGGTTAAATACATATTTATAAATCTCATCAAGTTTAGTCAATGCAACTTTTCACCGCATAACACTCGGTATTACACTCAACATTAGTGTTGTTAGCACCACTAAAATAAAAAAAATATTATCTCAATTTATTCTCTTGTAGCAAAGCATATATGTAGAAACGCGAACATGAGTATGTACATAAGAAGGTGTAAAATTAGACATACATATTTATTGATGTAAATTAGTACATAACATGTACATAAGGAGTCCTTTGAATAACCTATCATGACCCTTCTTTCAGATTTTCTTTCTTCATCCATTGCTTCCTCGCTTTTGCTTTTGAATTGAACCGTATGTGTGCCACTTAGAGAGTTCAACTTCTTCAATTAGTAGCTTCGACCACTTCGATGGAGTGCTACACAAACTCAACGAGGAAACAAGGGATTATATATAAGAAGCATAGTTTATTTCTAAGATTGATAATTAACCAGCATGATGATAAGAATTGGATATTAGCCTTCCCAGGTGGAGAAGGGTACTTGGATGTGATCTTAACATGGTGCTAAGTCAAAGATACTAGCTCGTAAAAGCTTGATACATACGTCACATGTATCACCCTAGTGATGTGGAGACGCAACAAAAGCAATACAAGAGATTTGGTTGAGAGTATGCCTTTCTATATGTATCCAGAACACATCTCAAAAACTAAAGAAATGAATAGACAAATGCATCTAAAAGACAGGGTCTTCGTTATCTCTCTCAGTTCTATGGCTTTCCCGACTTCTAAATTCATAAAAGAATATGTGCCTCAAAACCAACCTTATCTACGATAAGAATCAAGTGTAGTTTACCATGAAGAAAAGATATATTAAGATTTGAACATCCATATCATGGTAAGATTGTTCTCTTTTGATTTTTTCTGAATAAAGTTTAAGTATGAACTATCGATTGAAGTGATATGTACATCCGATTTGCCCAATTTAGATAGAAGCATCTAACTCAATCTATGGACAAAAGTTCTTATGATGACCATCCCTTCATTCACATTATTTGATTTTTTTAAACCCAATATATCTACTCAAGTTCATGTAATTATGTTTCAAGAACTAACTATTTTTTATATCCTGGTAAGCTATATACGGTTTAGCAAATTTCACCTATCATCATAATGATTTTGACTTTTTCTTGAGCTATCGTTTGATATAAAACCAAAACAATTTAATTGATTTATCTTGAATGATTCTTCCTCATGAGATTAGTGATTTTATTA